CAATGGACTGTACTATTTTGAATTTGCCATAAGTAGTAAAAGAAACGTATCACTTGTAACAATTGACCAGTTTAAAACGTTTATAATAGTTAAATAGTTTTCATCCACTTTGAACCGGTTTTCTACTAACGAGATTGTTCGCCATATTTTGTGTCTAAATCCCTGGTCACCCTTCTATAAAGCGTAACTCCTGGGCCAAACAATATTTGACCATAATCCCCTGACGCTTGACCTCCACCCCTAACACATGGCCTTCAACCTGGACCACTGGTCCTAAAAACTTCGATTAAAACGTTGAAGTGCCTAGGGCATTAATCTTTAAAATTTACTAAACAGTCTGAACCGCTTCTCCACAAATAGTTGTAATAACAATACAAATTTGGATCCAGGAGCCCAATATAGTTGTTACAACAACAAATCTCTAGATCCATAGGAACCATATGTTTAATAAGGAAGACCTGAATCACTGACGCCCCAAAATAAATTGTTACGATAATAAAACCCTGATCCAGTAGTCGCCAAAGTTTTAATAAGAAAATCCTGAATCACTGACGCCCCAAACTTTTATTAAGGTGGTGAAAAATACAATTCTCGAAAACACACATCCTTAACATAAAATCTCATTTGCAAAATTATAAACTAATCAGGCAGAATCTATTTTGTTAAATGTGTTACTTTCATCTTTATAATATAAAGCTTAAAGTTGATAAATAGATCATTTTAGTTGGTTGAGTAGTTAATTGAATTAGTAATAGGCGCATACTTTTACCCTATGCTTTCTAGTGTATAGAAGTTTTGGGATGCCAGGTTGTTGGCACAGCTACTTTGAAAACCAACGGCTCAGTTCACAGGTGTTTTTCACAAACATTGTAAAAGTAGGAGACCCAGGACCGGAAGTGATGTTGTTATGAATAGTTTACACGGTGCAGAATTTTGACCGTCAGTGGCAAAGAGGTGTTTTTGTTTGTTTCATGTTACTATACCAATTAAATCTTAAAGCTAGTGGACGAGAAAACCTAGATTTCGTTCCTAACAGCTTGAACATAAGTGGCATAGGGTGAAGTCAATGGCTAGGGACAAAGATCATAATGTGAGTGTGTAAAGGTTAAAGGTTAATACACCTTGGAATTACCCTTTCTACAAGGAGTGGTTTGGTCTTTTTCGAATAATGTTAAATTGGCGGATGGTCACATGTTAGTTGATAACAGTTTTAAAGTGGATAAAAATGGTCAACTGGTGAAAAGCGGTTTAAATTGGGCAAATAGTCAGCCTATTACTATAAAACTGTCTTATGTAAATGGACCACTGCATCCAAATCTGGCAATCTTGAAAGCACCTTAACTCAGTTCACATTGGCGGTCGTGTATATGTCCGTCAATATGTCAATACACACTAGATTAAGCTGATGTTCTGGTGTTTATGTAGTCAGGATCTCAAAGTGTTTTCCAAAGAATGTCCTTGCTTGTGGTAATGGTGTGACATGGGAATTGATCCATCACATATGACCTGTATTCCCCTCCCCTTCATTTGCATATTCATATTGCTATATGTTACAATTTACTGCTTAAACTTGCAGGCTTGATAGTTCTTACAAATCTAGCCTATTTATTTCATAAACTTAGTTCATACATTTTTGTTGCATATGACGTACAAAATTACTACAAAAATAGGGTTATTTATATAAGTGTCTAAATTGTATGTCCTTCATAACGCCTCGGATGATTTAGGTAACGGGTTCGATCCACGGCCGAGTCATACCAAAGACTTATAAAAATGGTATAAAAAGCTGCCATAATTGGCGTTCAGCATTAAGAGGTTGGTACGAGGACTGGTTGGCCTGGTGTCAGGATAACATGAGTAGGTGGGACATGATGCATGTCTGCGGCATGATGCCACAGTGCTAGACAACACAACGAACTGTCACAATGCAAACGTGATAGCGATATAACTGAAAAACAGTTAAAGCTAAGTTAAACACACACACACACACACTGTTCTTGTCAGCTATGATTGCTAACATGTGATTGGGCATTTCTCATTTTGATTCGAGAAATATCGTTTTGCACCGGGTGGTTATTTTTGGGTGGGTGAGGTGGGTTGCTAAAGATGTATTTATGATGTCTGATGGGCTGAACCCCCTTTCTTTGCTGGAACGTGGTGTTCATCCACTAGAAGGTCCTTAAATTTAAGAACATTACAGCGCATAGTTCTAGTGGACTATAAATAAATATATATATATATATATATATATATATATATATATATATATATATATATATATATATATATATATATATATATATATATATATATATATATATATTATGAACATATGTTTATATATGTATTGAGAGAGAAAGAGTGAGAGAGAGAGAAAGAGAGAGAGAGAGAGAGAGAGAGAGAGAGAGAGAGAGAGAGAGAGAGAGAGAGAGAGAGAGAGAGAGAGAGAGAGAGAGATTACTTCCTTGTTTTGAGTAATTTATTATAACATCATGTATACGACTTGGCTAAATACGAACCATATGATATTGAGTAGTCGTACAGAAAACTCATTTATTGAAACCTTTTTGAAGTGGATTACCCGTCTGTTTCATTTAATAATGGTTCTTTTTTTAAGGTGATGAATGAATATTCATTAAAATTAAATGTTTCACAAGATCGAATTTGGAATATAATAAGACAGTATTTTTGAAATGCTGAAAACCGTGTGGTGTGTGACTTTTATAATGATTATGTATACAACACAGTCACTGGTGATTATAGTACGATGGTATATATCATGGATGTTGCTATTGTTGTACAAACCCAGTCTTCCAGTTCTGTTACCATAAGGAAAACTTGAGGATCAATAATAAAATAAAAAACGGAACAACTTGTTTTATTTAACTAAGTTAAAGAAATAAGAAACTTGGAAATATAGCTTTAACACACAAAGACAGAATTTAAATGATAGAGCAATCATCTTATATCTTATTCATTGTTGTAAATTTAAAAAAAAACTGATATAACATAGGACGATATATATATATATATATATATATATATATATATATATATATATATATATATATATATATATATATATATATATATATATATATATATAGTTTTAAATCCAAATATCTAAAGCAGGGAATACTGAACAGTTTTTCATTACTTATTTCGGTGCACGTAATAAAATTTCTCCGATGGCATATCCCTCATGATGTGATCACAATCGATCCATCTAATTTTTTCGATGGTGCACGATGGAGCATTTGACCCTAATAGGATTCCGTACCTCCCTTTTAGGTTGTCAGTCGTCTCATTTTGACCCCAATAGGATTCCGTACCTCCCTTCTAGGTTGTCAGTCGTCTCATTGTATCTCAAGGTTTCTTGTTATTGTTTTGAATGTTCCACTTACTTGCATATGATTCACGTGATTCATCTGTAATGATTGATTATGGTCTGTTTTGCATTAATCAACAGTTAATTTTTCTGAGACAGGAAGATGAACTTGAGAACACAACAGTGTAGACATTGTTATCTGGATGGTAGACGAAAGTCTGATTTAATTTAAATGGTTTGCGAGGAACAAACCAATTTAATCCTTCACACTTTCTCTCTCTCCCTCCATCTTTCCACTCTGTCTGTTTGTCTGTATGTATCTCTGTCTCTTATATATGACTTAGCTTTCGTGATGCATTATGTTGACTGCATGTTTTTGACTTGCGTTAATGTGAATAACATAAATCAGAATAGTGGACGTTGGGTATGATAGCGTTGTTCCTATTAGGTTATAATGTATCAGGTGTTGGTACATATATAACAAATTCATATCGAAAATAAATTATTCTGTTCACTGTCTGGCGAATTGATACAAGTATGACAATAAACCACAAGAAATGCATATTATTCACTAAATCACATTTTTATGAAAAGTCAGACTTGCGTGGGGTTAGGGGCGGAGTCCTTTATCACCGCCAAATCGCAAACGCACTTTTCATATCTACTCCTGGCAAGTCAACAATAAGGGGAAATAAAACGCCCAGATGACAATGTGTTTACATACGTTACACTCACACGAACACGCTCACGTACACGAACACATCTCTTAAATCAGGGATATGACGAAGTGCAGTGCTCAATGCAACGGCAAATGTTGGTACGATCCTTTCCACTGTTGTGTGGAGGCTATTCGTGGATAAATAAGGTTTATATTCATTCAGCAAGAATAAACGGTTATATATATATATATATATATATATATATATATATATATATATATATATATATATATATATATATATATATATATATATATACAACAAACTGACAACGGACAGTGCAATTATAGTTTTTAACTAGGTGCTTTCGACTTTCAATGAGTCTTAATCACATGCAAACACACAATAGAGACAAAATTTTGAATAAACACAAAAGTGTCGAAATTACAAACACATATTATTTGAAATGGAATTGAAGGTTGACACTGTTTGATATTTCACTTAGTTGACATCAACATGACTGATGATGTGGTAAACTATTTCGTATTGACCAAACAATTGGAGGAGCTATTTTTGTAAAATGTAAGTGATGTAATGGTAAAATATCTCATATATCTCATTATTTGTGTAATATACCCATTGACCATAACAATATGAACACTAGAAAGAACTACAAATAAACAGTAGTGCTTTTATGTGAATGAGTGAGAAATTAGCCAAATTAACGAATTTTTTAATTTGAAAAAGTATTGGCTACAAGAAGATGAAGTGTTTGTATGTGATTTAGATTTTTAACGTAGCTTTAACAATCTTTCAATCATATCGCTATGATGTCTGCACGGTGACATTTTATAGTGATGTCTAGCACTTGGACATCCTGCCGCAGACATGTGGCATGATGTCCCACCGAGTCACATTATCCTGACACCAGGCCAACCAATCCTAACACTAATCTCTTAATGCTGAGCGACAAGCGAGACAGCTATTAGTACCCTTTTTTAAAGTCTTTGGTATGACTATGTTGGGGTTCAAACCCATGACCTCCCGTATACGAGGCGGATGCTCTAACCACTAGGCCACATGAACGGTAGCAGATGAAGCTATTGGGTTGTAGTGTTCTAAGTTGGTGTATCCAGAAAGCTTTCTTTTGTTTTTGTTCATGGTTCTGAACTCCAGTTATGTTGTGGAAACAAAAGGTGCATATTCGTATTTCACCATACTAACTTCTATTTGCCTCGATTTCTGTAGGAAAAATCCAGAGTGGCTGTGTACTTTGATGAGAGGTAATTAACATGTCGATATGCGTGTGTTTGCTACGCACAAAAACCTGTACCAAATGTTCAGAACAAATGTATATATCAAGTTTATTAAGAAAAAGACCAGTAATTATGAAAGATTTTGCAAATAGAAAACAGATGAAAACAGGGGTCGAAATGAAATATCAATGCAAGAGATGTAACCCTAATCATGATGCATGCACAATTCATGCGTGATTTTGATGACGTAACAGATGCACAATTGTATGGTTGTTATTATTATTATTAGTGTTGGAACTCTGAGATATGGGACACTGTGTACAAGTGCGTCTCTGTCTGTCTGTCGGTCTCCTTGCGTCTCTCAAAAGTATTCCCTAAAGTATTGAAAAAAATGCATACGAACGCCATCCAAAATGGCAGCTACAATAGGGCTATCACACATGAACTATTTTATGGTGGCTTTACTGCGATTTGTGATAACTCTTAAGCTATTAAAAAATCAGATCATATATCACTATAAAATTTACACGTAGAAGGAGGGTTTACGTTGTATTGCTAATTATTAAATTCATCCTTTCCACAACAATTGACCAGCAAATCTAATTACCAGTATATACTCGTGAAACAGCCGATTTTACCTCAAGATGTACAAATCAGGATCTGCTGTCACATAATGAGCATTACGATCTGAATATATGCAGTTTTTAAAACTAATCAGTAGAAGAAACAATATTGACCTTACTCTGCGCGCACATTGTGCAACAGCATATGAGAATCAGTATTGGTTGCAGTTGTAAACGACTTCTAAGCGAGTATATTCGGTATCAAGCAGAGACGGGTTGAGATTTCTTGTCTATTGAAATTGCAAAAGATTTTGTAAATATGACTAGGAGGCCTGTCATAATCGGTATTTTGACCATAATGCTGACAGCATGTTACAAAACGTTAGAAAATTCAGGAAGTTGCAAAATAACAAACAAAGGTCAACAAGTCTATTAAACTCGAACCATAATGTAATATTGAAAAGTAGTTTATAAACTGATTGCATCGAAAATTTATTTGAGAAAGCTTTGAAACAGATATTTATATTCATTGTGATATTTCTTCAGCATCTAATGCAGACCACTCTGTGATGCGAAATGCATCAGAGAGAGAGAGAGAGAGAGAGAGAGAGAGAGAGAGAGAGAGAGAGAGAGAGAGAGAGAGAGAGAGAGAGAGAGAGAGAGAGAGAGAGAGAGAGAGAGAGAGAAACGATTTTTATGGAAACATGATCTAATTTTAATTTCAATCATGCTGTTAAATGCGACAGTTGAAATAAAGAATTTATTTCTTCATGGTGGTGAAGGTGGGGATAATGCGAAAACATTCCACAACTTGAAGTCATCATATCAAGAGTTCATCACTTCGATAACATCGGATATCACTCGGATTTGGGTCCTTGTGGGTCCCTGTTACCGGATTCGGTTCGATATCTGACTTCGGATAGGAAACGCAGTGGACCTTTGGCTACAACATCTGTCAGGATTCCATTATTGTAATAACCCGTGCAAACTTCTTTATCTGTGGGAATTCGTGTAATATATATATATATATATATATATATATATATATATATATATATATATATATATATATATATATATATATATATATATATATATATATATATATATATATAGAGAGAGAGAGAGAGAGAGAGAGAGAGAGAGAGAGAGAGAGATAGATAGATAGATAGATAGATAGATAGATAGATAGATAGATAGATAGATAGATAGATAGATAGATAGATAGATAGATAGATAGATAGATAAACAGGAATAACAAAGACCCATCATTTACGTCAACATTATATGCGGCAAACTAGTCAGCTGAAAATTTATACTGTTCATAGAATGGGGACATAAGCATAGCTAAAGCCCGTCTTTATAAGGAGCTAATTACTTTGCAATTTTATGTTTAAAGTTCGATTCCATCAGAATATTTAGGCAGCGGCTCTTTATAGTTGGTGCATTTCTTTATGTAACCGTTGATTACCTATGCAAATGTATCAGAAAAACTGCAGATTATCACATTTGATTTTGGCGTTACTAATGATATTTACTTGCATTAAATAAACTAGATCCTAAGTTCATTTTAAGTAATTAAAAGTATTGAGAAACTAACGACTGTTTCATAATTCAGAACCAATACGAAACAGGTTTCATAGTGGAAAATGTGTGCACATTTACCCGAGATTCGTTTGCATGGTTGCTTGTCTCCCTTTGCAACGTCCAGCACATCAAAAGAGGACATATTGACATATGACCGGAAACAGACGGCAAACTTGTTACTTTTCATGTTGGTTGGTGCGAAGAAAAGTCTTAAGGTACCCCTCGGATAACTCCAGGACACCGATCCCTGTGTGCATGATGGTTTTACCTTGTATACCTGACCAGCTGGGACTCTGGAGAATATATATATATATATATATATATATATATATATATATATATATATATATATATATATATATATATATATATATATATATATATATATATATATATATATATAGTCACATTTGAAAAGTTATATCTTACTGGATGATAGTGGTGGCTCTATCATAGACTAAAGATTAGAATTTTATGATCCACAAGGGCTAATCTCGAGTTCAAGGACATAAAATGTAGTGTCTACGTTATTCAGTGTCCATGACTCAGACATGAAACATCTATTATATATCCATTATTCCTTCTATTTAAGAAAGACATTTGCTTCATTACGTCTTTGAGCAAAGATATGTGTACTTGAAGACTTGTTACACCCAATCGTCATGCAGTTGTATTTATGTTTAAAAGGAAACTTTTAAGTTCCGGTTTTCTGGACCTTCCTACTTTAAGTCATTAAAATATGCTGAAACTAAAATAAACCAAATGAAGCTATGTTATTATTACTTTGTAGATGCTCCATAGATTATCTATATAAGTAGAGTTCCCATGTGAGATCTCGATTTATTTTTCACAGTAATAAATTGTATGCCATATTGATTCTTCATGATTTGTTGAAGGTCTCAATCATTTCGAAAGTAAAATAAATGAAAGCGTGTTTTGGACTTTATTTGTGAGCAAATATACTGCAAGTGACAAAATGTAGAGTCAACCTGAAATTTGGCAATCAGCTTTATTGCATTGACACTTGTTTTATATCCTGATTTATAAATATAATGCCATCATAATTGCATATGATTATAGTTATATGGAATTGAAAACCATTCCTGAACGTTCACTAAATGTTAAAGCTGTAGTCAATTAAGAGACTTATTTTTTTTATCATTTTTATCTTTAACCTGATAGATTTGTTTGTAGTTACACTAAAGAAGCGGAAACTTTTATCTGAATTGCATACATATAGAATCTAAGTTTAATTAAGTATAACCTCTACATGTATAATCAAGCAACGTAATGACCCGTATTAATCTTGAGTTGCAAAGGGACAATTAAGGAAGGGTCACATTGAAATAATCATATAACGGACAGTGCAATTCTAGTTTTTAACTAGGTGCTTTCGACATTCAATGAGTCTTAATCACATGCAAACACACAATAGAGACAAAATTTTGAATAAACACAAAAGTGTCGAAATTACAAACACATATTATTTGAAATGGAAATGAAGGTTGACACTGTTTGATATTTCACTTAGTTGACATGACTGATGATGTGGTAAACTAGTTCGTATTGACCAAACAATTTTGGAGGAGCTATTTTTGTAAAATGTAAGTGATGTAAGTGTACAATATATCATATATCTCATTATTTGTGTGATATACCCATTGACCATAACAATACGAACACTAGAAAGAACTACAAATAAACAGTAGTGCTTTTATGTGAATGAGTGAGAAATTAGCCAAATTAACAAATTATTTAATTTGAAAAAGTTTTGGCTATAAGAAGATGAAGTGTTTGTATGTGATTTAGATTTTTAACTTAGCTTTAACAATCTTTCAATCATATCGCTATCCTGTTTGCACTGTGACATTTTATAGTGATGTCTAGCACTTGTATATCATGCCGCAGACATGTGGCATGATGTCCCACCGAGTCACATTGTCCTGACACCAGGCCAACCAGTCCTAACACTAATCTCTTAATGCTGAGCGACAAGAGAGACAGCTATTAGTACCCTTTTTTAAAGTCTTTGGTATGACTATGTTGGGGTTCAAACCCATGACACCCCGCATACGAGGCGGACGCTCTAACCACTAGGCCACAGGAACGGTAGCAGATGAAGCTATTGGGTTGTAGTGTTCTAAGTTGGTGTATCCAGAAAGCTTTCTTTTGTTTTTGTTCATGGTTCTGAACTCCAGTTATGTTGTGGAAACAAAAGGTGCATATTCGTATTTCACCATACTAACTTCTATTTGCCTCGATTTCTGTAGGAAAAATCCAGAGTGGCTGTGTACTTTGATGAGAGGTAATTAACATGTCGATATGCGTGTGTTTGCTACGCACAAAAACCTGTACCAACGACTTTGAGGCATCATTATTGTCGATATGCGTGTCTGCTCCGCACAAAAGCCTGTACCAGCGATTTTGAAGCATCATTATTGTCGATATGCGTGTGTCAGCTACGCACAGAAGCCTGTGCCAGCGACTTTGAGGCATCATTATTGTCGATATGCGTGTGTGAGCTACGCACAGAATCCTGTGCCAGCGACTTTGAGGCATCATTATTGTTGACGAGTACATGGTCGAAGTGGGTATAGAATGTAATGTGTTCAGGCAAGGCGATAAGTGCCGTATCTCGGTCTACCGGGTTAGAATCTCCACAAATATTCTTTAACCTGTA